CCCTGGCTACCCCTCCAGGGCGGCCCGGATCACCCAGCAGAGCCCTAGCTACCCCTCCAGGGTGACCCAGATCGCTGTGGGAACTCCACTCACGCTTCAACAACGGAGGTGGGATGAGGGCATGCATAGCACATCCCTCTGCAGCGCCCTTGCCCTTCACCATGTGTAATATATTTGCCTTCCAAAGGCTGGGGGTGTGGCAGTGGAATAGAAGAAGCTGGGGGTGAGACTGAAGAGAGAATCACCCAGTTACCTGAAGAGCCAACAGCAAAGCGGTGGGCGGAGTCTCCGCCGTTTGGAAAGCAGGTCCTCGCGGGGAAGCATAGACGACTTCCAGGGTCAGTGTCAGGCCCAGCATCCGGGTCCTGCCCATAGACTTGTAAATTCTTTTCTGGGGATAAATGTTATTTAATATTCACTGTTCTTTTAAATACAGTCTTCGTTGTTCATAAAACATTGTGTTATGTAATCAAAATTTAAAAGACCTGCAAAGAAGCAAGAGAATTGGACTCATGTTCATGAGGGGGGACGGCCCCTAAGACGGTCAGTAGAAGAGACGTGCTGGAATTATCAGACTTTGGAATAGCGGTGATAGGTGAGGCCAGGAGTTTGTTGAAAAGGTCTACAACATCTATGAAGAGGTGAGGGGTATTGCAGAAGGATAAAAACTATGAAAAAAACAAAATGGAAATGCTGGAAATGAAAATTCGTATTGGAAATAAAATTCCCATGGTTTAATAGGAGACTAGGTACAGCAGAGGAAAGACTCATTGAATGAAGTCTGACCAGTAGAAATGACCTAAGACAAGGAGAAAAGGCATGAAAATACAGTGGAACAGAGTGCCTGAGGCCCGTGGGTCTAACATACCTGTAGTGATCGGAGCCCCAGCAGGAGTGGGTGAGAGAAAATGGGGCAAGAGAACAATTTGAAGAACTATGGCCAGGAGCGAAGGGAAGAATCAACACAAAGATTCAGGAAGCTCAGTGAACTCCAGGCAGAGTAAATGAGAAGAACCACACCCAGACACATTGTTGTCCAAACACTGAAGGTCGACGGCAGAGTCGATCTTAAAGCCCCTGCAGAAATAAAGCTAAGTAGGGGGAAGTAATAAAAACAACACTGAGTTCTCATCAGAAATGCTGGAAGCAGGAGATCCTTCAGAATGGAAGAGAAAAGCAGATACTTAGCCAACCTAGAGAATCCATTAGCAAATACGCATCACAAGAAATAGAATGTCTCAGGATGAAAACAAATGATAGCAAAATGAAGCCCAAACTTTTAAGAAGAAATGAAGAACACTGAAAAGAGTAAATACAGGAAAATGTTTTAGAATCTATCAGTATGTAGACATGTAAATATTTTTTAGTTTGTTTTAAAAGTATTAACCGTTTAAAAATATGAACTGCTGAGGTGTTCATAACGTGTGTAGGAATAACAGATGAGACAACAGGAAGTCGGGCCCTGGAAATGCACCGTTGCAAGAATCTTCATTTTCATAATGCATAACTAGAATGCAATAAATCATGCAAAAAATACACAGAGGGTAAAATGAAATACCACAAATATTCTTTCTATTCATGAGAAAAGGAGGCAGGAAGGGAAGAACAGAGAACAAAAGGGACGAGTAAAGAACCAACAGCAATCGCACCAATAAGGATGTGAAAAGTAAATGAACTGTGGATGCTGTGATTGCTGAGGTTGGATGTCTGTGTCCCCCCTCCAAACCGTCTATGTCGAACTATAATCCCTAACGCAGTAATATAAGAGATGAGGCCTTTAGAAGGTGATTAGATTATGAAGATGGAGCCCTCACGAATGAGACTTCTGCGCTAAAGGAGCATCTTCATCCACTGCAGGTGCCTCCATCTGGGACTTGCTAGACTCCAGAGCTGTGAACAGCCTCTTACCTAATCTAAGGTATTTCACAGCAGGGGGTAGCAGATGAGCACAGACCCAGCCTTGTCCTGCTGCCTTCCCGTGCCCAGGAGAGGCGGACGTTGGCCACAGACCGTGTGAAGGATGGCGTCCAGCTGCTGGGTGATCCGGTGCAGCACAGGGAGGCCAACCTCCCTGTCAGGCTTCTTTAAGGGAATGCTGGCTGGTACCGAGCTGAGAAAGATGAGTTAGCGGTGACGAGAGTGGGGAGGGAAGAGCACTCTGGCCAGGGAAGCTGAGCTGAAGCCCCTGCAACTTTGGAGGGGTCAGGAAAGATGGGAAGAGGCCAGGGTGGCCAGAGAGGGAGGGAGGACGACAGAAGGCTGCACCAATCGCCGGTCCTTTTCCCAAGATCAGTGGGAAATTGTTAGAGGGCTTAGGGCAGGGACCTGTCGTATTTAGCTAATCGTTTTGAAACGATCATTTGTTGTACATCATGAAGGCTTCTCTAAGCCGGTAACATTTCCACAGCCCCCACATTTTAATGCAAATGGAGAAATTCTTTTGGAAATAGGAGTACAAAGAGGTCAAATTTTGTGTCATTTTCCCTTTCAATTTGAAGAGTGTCATTTGCCTGGAGACATACAACCTAAGCTTTTTCTCGTCTTCGACGTACCCAGCGTACTACATAAGCCCAGTATCGGGTCTTTGGAGTTTGTTCATTCTTTCACACATTTCTACTTACGGTAGCCCTTTCTGCAAGTACTAGGTTGTGCTAATATTATGGTGTGTGAATTGCTGAATAGTAAAATCGCCAGTCAGCGTAAATGCTAAAATTAGTCCTGTTTTGTGTTTTCTGCGCTGGTATTTGGGATGTGAGTCTGTATATCTTCACCTGAGATTTAAATATTACTCATTTGTGCAACAAGCACTTAATACCTAATTGATACAATACTTTTATGTCAGTAAGAAACTTACTTTTTGGTATATACATTTGTCCCTCAGTGGGGGACAGGTTTCTGGACTCCCTATGGATACCTAAGTCCGCAGACGCTCAGGTCCCTGCTGGAAAATGGCTCAGCATTTGCATAGAACCCGTGCACATCCTCCGTGTACTTTAAATCATCTCTAATGACTTGTGATGCTGAATATGATGTAAATGCTGTGTAAACAGTTGTACTGTATCATTCAGGGAATTATGACAAGAAAAAGTCTGTGCCTGTTCAGTACAGGTGCAATTTTTTCAAATATTTGTGATTGAAGGTTGGTTAAATCTAAAGATGCAAAACTCACGGATATAGAAGGCTGACTGCTTAACATTTTTATTATATAACTGGATTTTAATGTGAATCCTTTTTTCTCATTAATGTAACTTGCAATTTCAAAAATGCTTTACCTTTGTTTCTGAATGAGCTTTAGTTGGAATGGATAATGCTGTTTTTCCGTGGGTCCTTTTTGCAAGTATTTGATCCTTAAATACTGAGGAGCATTAGGGATCTCTGTATTTAAGGGAACACTGGCTAGCATTCTTTAGCAATATGAAGATTTTGTTAAATACTCCCTCAATATGTATCTTGAAATTTCAGACTTTTTACCTCAGGGGTTTTATAATTTGGAAGCAGCTGTGTCTTACCTCTTTATCTCCTTCACGTGTTCTTCTCTATTAATGCTCAGGCCTATTTGGCTTCAGGCGCAGTGTTGCCTCCTCCACGTGGTACAAGATAGGAAAGGAGGTACTAGCCATGCACATTTTTTCCTGAGATACCACCTTGAGCCATTATGACAATTTCTGAACTTGGATAATTTAGAGAGAATGCTGACTTATTTTCATTCCAGTTAATATTTAGGTTTCAAGGAATCATGAAGGAAGGAAATTATTTAAATCATTGCTTCAGCTCGAATATATTCAGTTAAAGTCCACTATGTGTTTGGAGCGTACACACCTTTATTGGCTATTTTCTTTCTTCATGCCCTTCCTCTCTCTTTTAAACATAAGATGCTGAGAGAGAGCAGTAGCCATAATCACCCTAGTGAAGTAACAGAGAAGAGTGGAATCATAATTTCCTTTTAAAATCTTGAACGGTTGCTTATTTTCATAGACTTGGCTCTGTTGTGAGTGGTGGCAGTTTTTCCATCTGGCTTCCAAATTTCAGCCAGAAGAAAAACACTTAACTCCCTTTCCACTGCTGCGGCTGCTGTCTCTAGTGTCTGCCTCCTGTCGTCATGGGGGTGTGGGTGGGTGCTGGGCCATACACACAAAGAACAGGTGTGCATCAGTCCAGGCACCTGTGAAAAATCTTCTACTCTTTGTACTTTTGGGGAATGTTTGGGAAAGACAGCTAAGTCACATAGGGAAAAATACCTTGCATCCAAGGAGCTTGCCCAAGTTGCTTTCTGGAATTGTCCAGCAGCTGGGGTAGATGATTTAATAGGGGTAGCAGGCAGGGACCACAGCCATGGATGATGAGGAGAAGAAAACAGAAATTGGTGTCTCTGTTTGGAGAACAGCAACAGAGCACATTTGCTGGGGTGGAAACTCCTCCTGAGGCTGCTGAGCAGACCGTGTGAGAGCCCAGCGCTGGATTCTTTCAGGCTTCAGATATACGTTGGCCTCTCCTTTTGCCTCATCGTTTAGGTGGAGAGGGCTAGTGCCCTAATTTCGGGTGTAAAAGCTTATAGGTTCTCCATTGTTACTGGAATCAGAACCTCGGAACTACCTCAACCAATTTAGCGAATGAAACTTGCACTCCCACGTCCCTCAGAGAGTGCTGTGAGATGGTGCAGTGCCACCATTTACCTTCTGTGTTTCAGAGTGACTCAGGTCCCTGCACCGTGGTTAGTCACCTGCTTCACCCTCTTTTGTTGCTCCGTGGATATGTTGACATCTTTAAAACATTTCTTTTAGTCTTGTACAGTGGTTAATTTTAATGATTTCCATATTTGATGTTGTTTTTGATCTTCTTTTCATTTTGTTTCCTGCTTTTCGCATTCTCCTCCCCACCCCTCCCTCTTCTCCATCCCATTTTTCACTGTCGGGTCATGTGTGTCTGTGTGTTGTGTGTGTTGGTTTCTGTTGTCTGGTATTCTCTCCTCTCTTCTCATCCTCACCCTTCTGCTGCTGTAGCCTCACAGGCTGTGGACCCTGGCCGAGCAGGTAGGGGACTTTCCTGTCCGTCACACCCCTGCCTCCCTGCCCAGCCCCGCTGCCTTGCCCGCATCCAGCCATGGGACAGACTAGCAGCTGAGTGCAGAGATTGGCCGGGGGTCTGCGGACCCTGTGATCGTGGGTGCTGCCTGCCGGGCAGTGTCACGTTCAGGCCTCACGCGTAGCCGACGCTGTCTTCCCGGGGTGCGCGGTCAGTGGTTCCTTTGCCAGTTTGGTTCATCTCTGTTTTACTGAATTCTCCACCTGTTTTCCATTTACTTATTTTTAATTGACCCTCCATGGCTGTATTTTGCGTTACTCACTGTGGGCCGGTTCTCCGCTCGGCGCTGGTCTGTGGCGTGGCTTTGCTGAGCAGCGGGGGTAGAGCTGTCACTGGGAGTGTCCGCCGGGAGGCTGACTCGCATGTGCTGTTCTTTTTCCCTATCTCAGTGGTGAGATACCAGGGCCCAGGGTTACTGAGTACTATGGTATGTTTTAACGACATTGTCTTTTTCTTTCTTATATATAAGCAATATAAGAAAATTGTGTGCCTTTAGTACAAAATTTGGAATTCTCTCCTGAAGAATTTTAGTGTAATTCTTCAAATGAATTCTGAAGGGCTCCCTTATTTTTTGGCAAATTTATTGTAGGTTGTCTTTTTCCAACCAAGGTATTGTATTGCCTTCCCCAAAAATGGTTGTACAGTTTTGGTTTGTAACACAGCCTTCATGATACTGCTATTCTGTGGACAAAGGTCACTGTTCAGAAGTCAGCATGGTGTAATTTTTCAAGCAATTTATGGTGCCAAGAAAAGATTTCTGGACCCCTGTGTAAAATCAACAGCCAAGTGGCTCAGACCACCAAGTCCTGCCCAGCTTACCAGGATAAAATACCCCTTCTCTGACCTATGTCTCAGCCGAAAATGCCCTCCTCAGGCCAGAGAGCCAGAGCACAAGCAGAGCCCGGAGGAGCAAGATGCTCCCCTCACCTCTTCCTCCCTGGCCTGTCCATCCACATCATGCATCTGCTTCACTGTCCTGGGCCCTTAAAGTACACCTTTTGTTGTTAAAGGTGGATGCATGTAGTAAAAATTTCTCTGCACAGATGCTTCATATCCTTCCAACCTGCTTTTGCAGCCGCCGTCTTGGCAGTTTCAGCCCTCCCTTTTTTTGGCACAGTGCGTGGCTTGTCTCCTTTCTTTCCTATTTTTATATATTGGCGGTCAAGCTGTGTGAATCCAGTATTATCCTAATAAGATATGCCTTCTGGAATTTAGGTTATCAAACTTAAAGTTAGCAGGTGCCTTGCAGAGATTGCTGGTCTAAGTGCTTTTAGTTTTATTTTTCACTTTAACATTTTACCAAAGAAATGTTTCCTAGCTAGTAGAAGCACAGACCCCAGTCTCCTTCCACGTAAATTTGAGTTAACCACTCTGTTGTTGCTTGCAGGGAACCTCAGGACCTGACCCAACCACTGTCTATGTGGACATGAGAGCCCTGAGACATGACAGGTACTGTACGCTTCTGGGTTTTTTTCTTTTCCTTTTTCTGTTTTGTTCTGTGGCCGTGCACGCAGGTGTCCATCTAGAGGAAGGGGTGCGTGCAGTGTTTATCTGCTCAGAGTGTGCTTGTCTCATGAGTGAAGTGGTGGAGTTAGGCATTGGCTTGAACTTTGCAGTTGAAGACTCTGGCCAGGCACGGTGGCTCATGCCTGTAATCCTAGGACTTTGGGAGGCTGAGGTAGGCGGATCACCTGAGGTCAGGAGTTCGAGGCCAGCCTGGGCAACGTGGCGAAACCCCGTCTCCACTAAAAATTACCCAGGTTTGGTGGCAGGCACTTGTACTCCCAGCTACTTGGGAGGCTGAGTCAGGAGAATTGCTTAAAACTGGGAGGCAGAGGTTACAGTGAGCTGAGATTACACCTCTGCATTCCAACCTGGGAGACAGAGCAAGACTCTGTCTCAAAAAAAAAAGAAAAGAAAAAGAGAAAATCTGTTGCAGGATGGCAGTGGCCGGTGTGATAGCAGGAGTGTGGCCAGAGCCGCTTTATCTGACCGTCTCACCGGAAGGCAGGCACTTGGTTCTTTTCCTTCCTATTTTAGCCACCATTTTGCCCCCCTCGTAGAATGTCAGCATCCTGCCCACATTTATTTACATGATGTTTTGTGAAGGTGCTTAAATTAGGGGTTAGGGTTCAGGTTACCTTCTCTATGTGGCCCCCTGAGAAGAAAAGTGGAGTTCTTGGTGAGTGTGTGAGGACTCCAGAAGGCAGGGATGGGGTTGAGCAGGGTGAGAAGCCCTTCAGAGGAATCTCTGCCCACCAAGGAGGACCCACTAAGATGCCAAAGAGGAAGGAAAGAAGGCGTCATTTTTACTGCAGACTTCACCCGTTGAAACAGATCATTTTCCGCTTGGTGACTGTGGAGGTGCCCGTTCATTGTTGCTTAGGTGAACTGTGTGGGACGTGGTGTCTTCCCTTACCGTCGTCAGCAGCCGCTCCGTGACATGTTGCTGTGTGTGCCTGTGCCTCAGGGGTGTCTGGCGTGCCTGGAGGCATTTTCGATCAGCACAAGTTGGGCAGGGGCTCAGCTGGCATCTGGTGGGGGGATGCCAGGGATGTCCCAACAGCCTGCATGGGACAGCCAGTGGCTGAGAGCTCACGTGCCAGGGCCAGGAGCTACGACCGCCCTGACGGTTCACACTTGTAGATGCATGCCTGGCCCTGTGGCCCTTCCATCAGGCCTTCCGGTTGACAGAACCACTGGCTGCACAGTTATGAAATCACAGAAGAGTGGTGGCCACCTAGGAGCCCTCGGGAGGCTCTGCAGGCTGAGGGCCAGAGGCAACGCCTACCCCCAAGGCCACCAGCTGCCAGGGACAAAGTTCAGTCTGGAACACTTAGAAAAATCAGAAATGTAGTTTTAGATTAGATAACTTGTTTCTGGGCATACGATTTTCTAAATAATCACTTCTGGGCTTTAAAGCATGTCTACTTAACTCCCTGTAAGAATTCTTTGGAAAATATCTCATAATTGTATGACTTCCTGGAGAAGTGAGCAATATCTCATCAAATAACACATGTATGCAGTTCTATCTGTGGCCTGGCCCTCAAAGAGTAACGTTTTCCCTGACTAGGCTGCTAGCTACTTTGGAAAGCATCTGAAATGGAAGTGAGAGCACGCAGGGAACAGGAGCTGGCGGTGCCGTTCACTTTCCCACACACCACTGCGTGGGTCTGGTTGGCACCCACGCCGCTGACTCTTGCTGCTCGCTGGCCTAGGCTCTCACCTTTGAGCAGTGCCGAGCGGAGCTCCTCGGATGCCAGACATCTTCACAAGACTCAGACCTGACCCCCATCCTCAGCATTTTATATACAAAGAAGAAAAGCAAAGTCTGGCTCTACATTGCAGAGCAGCTTCCTTTCACTGGGCCCTGCCCAGGCACCCCTGAACCCTCCCTGCTGCTCTCTAGATGGCCATGTGCCACTCTTCCTCGCATGCCCTCGGGTGGGAGACGCTGCCCTTCCCTCCTGGCTTCTGGGGCTGCTCTCACTCCTCTCATTCCTTTCAGTGTTTTTCTCCGTGATGTTCTCTCTCTGACCTTTCTGACTGGCTCTGTCTGTGGCCCCCTCCATCTGGCTGGGTCCCTTCTCCCTTACCCTCAGTGCAGAGAACCTCAGTGGCGTCCCAGCCTTGCTCTCTGATGCCCCCACCACCTACTCACAGTCCGCAACCCCCAGCCCACCTCCAGGGAGTCTGGCCCCAGGGGCCTTTCCTCCAGTCCTCCAAGCTCAGCTCCAAAGCCCTCTCCTTCCTTAAACCTCCCTTAAATATTCCCAAGTAAAAATACATCCAGCTTTAATCTGCAGCATCACTTTCGACCTTTACCAGCATGTAACACACCTCATGCTGCAGCCACTGGCAGAGGGGGCTGTGGGTCACACAGGTAAGAAGTCAGCTGCTCTGGGAACGAGGTATTACGCTCTGTAACCTGTTTCCCTCTTGCTTTAGTCCGTTTCGGTTTCTATAAAGGAACACCTGAGACTGGGTGATTTTTAAAGAAAAGAAGTGTATTTGGCACAGGGTTCTGCAGGCTGTACAGGAAGTGTGGTGCCTGCATCTGCCTCTGGTCAGGTTTCAGGAAGCTTCACTCATGGTGGAGGGAAAGAGGAGCCGCAAGTGAAGAGATCCATGGTAGGAGGAGGGGACAGACTGCCTGTAGCCACCGGCTCTCCTGGGAGCTGGTAGAGCAAGAACCGGCTCCTCCCATTAGGCCCCACCTCCAACCCTGGGGATCACATTTCAGCAGGAGCTTGGGGAGTAGCGGGGGAGGTGCTCAGAACAGGTGCAGTAAAACCAGTCTTCCCAGGCCCCTGTGAGGACAAAGTAAAGGAATGCTGTGAAGAGCGGGACCGGGGCCGATGCTGTCACTGTGAGCTCCAGCAGCTGGATGATGACAGAGGACTCACCTCTTCTGTTCCACTGGCCTAGGGCTGCTGACCACAGAGGGTGAGAAAGTCGACAGTCCAAGGCCAGCAGTCGGGAGGCAGTGAAATGAGAGCCACTAAAAGCACTGACCCTTTTCTTTCTTATTACTCTTCCTATAAAAATGGGATGGTGGTTTTCCCATTTGATCTGCATTAGGGTCTGTCACAGGATTAATTACTGTTCCTGTTGCTTTAATGGCACACTCACTTGGGAGCTCCAAGGCACCTGGCCATGTATCGTCTAATTACTGTGGAGAAGGTTAGCTTATTGGTATGCACATGCAATTTCCTTGAGAGAGAATATGAATGTGCACACACACAAGCAAGACGGCCTACAGAGGAAGACGGCCATTGTGGAAGTCAGTGGTTAAACAGGTGTATTAGCCATTTCTACTTGGTTTTCTGCCTCTGTTTCTATGCCCTTTTTATTCTTGGAGCCATGGTGGGTGGGACCTGCCTGCATCTGTGACAGGTCACCATGGAGAGCATTTCTGCATCACAGAGTGAGGAGACACACTCTCCCTGCTTCTGGAACAGATTACAGTCCCACATGTGCAGGAAGGAAATGATGAAATTGTGTTAATACTATTTGAAAGTGACTGTTCACTTTAAAAATATTTTTACAATGTAATTCATTTTAAATGAATTCATAAGTCTCTCAATGACTTCCAATTTGGTCGTTCCATGAACACTTCAGTTTTTCAGACTTTAGATAGGAAATATATGTATATTTTTGTCTGCATTTGAAGATGGGGTTTTTAAGGCTGAGGACAGGCTCACACCTGTAATCTCAGTGCTTTGGGATGCCAAGGCAGGAGAATCACTGGAGCCCAAGAGTTTTGAGAGCAGCCTGGGCAACATAGCAAGACTCTATCTCTACATTTTTTAAAAATGAGCTAGGTGTGGTGGCATGTGCCTATAGTCCTAGCTACTCAAAAAGCCGAGGTGGGATGACTGCTTGAGCCTAAGAGTTAGAGGCTACAGTGAGCCGTGATCACACCGCTGCACTCCAGCCTGGGCAATGGAGCAAGACCTTGTCTCAAAAGAAAAAGAAATAGTTTTAGCAATTTTTTATATCTTAAGAGCATTACATTGGTGTAAAGTCCTAGGATGAAAATTTTCTTAGCTTCCTCAGGGCTTGTAACCTAAAGTCATAATTAAAGGGTATTACCAGAAAAGCATAGATATTAAATTAATTCCTGCTCAGTGTTAGTCCAAGTATCAAGATCCTGAGAGCAGGGGGCACAGAATGAAAGTGCATCAATAAACTTCAGACTTAGGAGCAGAATGGAGGGAGTGAAGACAGAGATAAAGACAAATAGCTTAACAAGAGCCTTTCACCCGGTCAGGTCCTTGTGTGTGTGTGTGTTTCAGTGCATGTGAGTGTGCTGTGAATACATGCATGTGTGTGTTGTAAGTATGTGAATAGTGTCTGCACATGTGAATGAGTTTGTGCATATGCAAGCTTGCCTCTGTTATGTGTTGTGTGGGTGAGTGATGTGAGTACAAGTGCATATATGCATGACAGTATGAGTTTGTACAGGTGTGTTGTGTATATATGCTGTTGTGTGTTACAAGTGTGCATGTGTGTGCAATATTGCATGTTTCAACTGCACATGCATGTGCACAAGTGTGTGTGCTGCAAGTGTAGACGTGCATGTGTGTGTCATGAGTGTGTTGCAAGTATGTTGCAATTGTGTGACTGTTTCAAATGTGTACACATTTATGACTTTGCATGTGTGTGTGTGTGCATACAAATATGCAGCATATATTTGTGCAAACATGAGTACATGCAAGTATGAGTATGCACGTGTGTGTTGCATGGGGGGGTGCCTGTGTATGGTACAAGTGTATTAGGGTTTGCAAGAATGCAAGTGCACTCCCATGTGCATGTGTGTTCAAGTGTGAGTTTGCATGTGTGAGTGTAGTGTACCAAGTGTTTTATGTGTGTACAAGTATGTTGCCTGTGTACATGTGTGCATGCAGATGAGTTTGTGCTGATGTGTGGGCTATGTGAGTATTGTG